AATTTTTTAAATAATTATAAAAAAATAAATCATTATAAAACATACGGAATTTTGATATAAAATCATTAATTATGTATACAAACCTTATAAAAAATGTATCATTTCCTTATTTCAATTTCTTATAGGAATAGTACATTATTTAGTATATATATTCTTAAAATTTAATTGCAAATGTGCAATCTGATTGTAATAAATATATGTGATAAACTTATAGACTTTAATATTAAATAAAAAAATTACACTTTCAAAACTTTCTCATCTTCATATAGGCTCTGCTAACCTACACAATCAAGTGATATATTCATTGAGAAAGATCTTCTAGATACTGTATTACTTGTTTGTTATTGTGGTTCAGTACAATTTCGAGCATAACGCCTGTTTCATTACTTTCAATCAGTCTAAGAAATATAATTGGCTTTAAAAAAAAGTATTTAAATTTAATTGCTTATCTTTATATTATATATAGATATCAATTTTTCGTATGATATATCTAATAATTGCAGAAAATAATGAATTTAAAGAAGTTGACAGATTATTTATTCTTTTTGGCAAAAATAATATCATTATTTTTTAAAATAAATGTTTAAGGTTGTTTTTATAATTTCATAATTCATAATCAAGTTAATTTTTTTGTATTATGAATCGCAATATAGAAATGCAGCATTAGTATTAATATGAATAGTTATAAATTAATCCTCTAAGAGGAGCTTAAGGACTATAAAGCTAAGAGAAAGAAACGCAGTGACAAAGTTACTAAAGTAGCGCAAACTGCTAAAATATTAGGATTTGATCATTTTTGCATAGAATTTGATTATCATTATATCACTATATTCAGGAAAGAAATTTGCATCTTAGGAAGAATGACAAAGATTTATTTAGGAAATCCAAAGTGTGATTAAGGTCGTTCAATGGGAACAAAAAGAATTAAATTAGCTCATGAATCCCAAAATAAAAAATGAAGCACAAATTCAATGTAAAAAGTGTGAAAATACTAGCGATTATCAAAAAACTGTAAGATTCAGTATGTAAATGAATATTAGAAGCAGCAAATTTGTAATGACTTTTATTTTATTTACTTGTAATATATAGTAATAATTAATAAACTTATTATCTGAAATCAACATTTACGTATAATTGCATAATATATAATCTCATGACATTTTAATAAATTACAAAACTCTAAAAAAATAATCAAGATTAGGCTAAAATAATTTTGATAGCTTGCAACCTAAAAGACCAAATTAAGCTAAAAAAAAAATAAATAAATAATCATATCACATACTTTTGAACCAAATGTAAAAAAACGAATAATTTGAATAAAAAATAACAAAACTTCTAAGAAAGTTTTTAATTTTAACAAAATATTTAAAAAATTTATTTTTTATATATAAGCAAATAATAATAAAAAACAACTTTATTTGCATGATGCAAAGCAATATAAAGCAATGAAGCATTAAATGCAAAATGTATATGCTTTTGCATATAATATATTAACATCAGTATTTTAGTGACTAGCTCAAAATCAAACAAAATTAAGCTTTGGCATTCTTTTCTTTTATTACTAGAATGATATGCGATTGATAATTCTGTTATTATATTGTATCAAAATTTTTATAAGTTTTCTTGGGATTTCTTTGTATAACCTGTATTACAAATTCAAAACCAACTCTTTTATGTTTCTCTTAGTATAGGATTGTTTTTGACAATAAATTTTTAATTTATTTTTTTAAAAAACATTTTTAATGCAAATAAAACCAGTGAATCGACTTTGACTTTGTTACTGCTAGTTGAAAGTTCAATTTTACGATAATGTTTTATATTATAATTGGGAAGATTTTAATATTATGGATTGGTATACTATTAAAATTAAGCTATGAGACATAGTAAATAATGTTTACTATATCTTGTATAGGGATGTAAATGGTTATGGTCATGACCAGTCATGACTGGTCATAACCGTAACTGATATCAGTCGGTCAAAGGTTTCTGACTGACTGATTTTGACTGATTTTGACCGACCGTTTGATCAAACATTTTTAATTAGTAATCCAAGAATTCTTTGCATTTAATTAACAATCATTTTATTTATGCAATTTTTTATATATAAAAATTTTTAATTTATTTTTAAAAAAGTTCGCGATAATTCTGTAAATATGAAAGTAATCTTAACATGCATATCAAGTTAGCCTAAAAGAAATAAGTAAAATATATAAAAATTCAGAGTTTTAGCAAATACTATGTTAGCATTATTTAAAACTTAAATTAAAATTAACGATCAAGAACTTTAAATTATATTATTGTTATATGGACTGGTCAACCGGTCAATATAACCAGTCTGTTAGTCAAAGGCCTCTGACCGACCGTTGACCGACCATTACCATCCATAGTTTCGTATCTCAATTTTAATAGCATACCACCCATAAGTGTGATGAGGTTATACGCTGTTAAGCTTAAACTGTTCATCATTAAGTTAGAAGAGATTATTTGCTAATAGGGAGTTTAAATAAATCTAAATTATGGAAGAAATAAACACGAATTAATTATGTTGAAGGGTCAGGTCATCTTTATTGATATCGATTTAAAGAAGAATGAATTATAAACGAGCTAAGATAAGTAAAATATTATTGATTTATTAGAGATTTGTAACGACTCTGCTATTTATTGAGGCTAAGATACAGAATATTTATATCAATATGAAATAGTTATTTAATAAAGTAAAGAAATTAAATATATATAAGAAATTAAAGAAATTAAAGAAATGTAAGAAATTATAGAAATGAGAGAAATTATAGAAATTAAATAAATGATGATTCGTGATTCGTCAACTATGTTTAGCGCAGTATATTTTTCATAACAAAATTATCACTAACAACGTATCGGAAAATCCAACGCTAAGACTAAGAAGATCGAAAACCTAAAAAATAGTTAATAGATAAAAGCCAACACATTAACATAAACAACAACAAAAAAATAATAAACTTAAAAAAAAAAACTTATCTGCGGCAAGTCGAACCCGAAAATCAAAAAAGAAAAATGTAATAAATAATACACTCATTATCTAAAGAGCGCTGCGGAAGAGAATGTGCTAAAATAATAGTAATAATATTATAATTAAATGGACTTTAAAAGTTATTTGATCAAAGAACCTAAATAACAAACAAAAAAATTAAAACATAAAGTGAAAAAAAATGCTTACTTATGAAACAAACCGGAAGATTAAAAATATTGAAAAAATTAAGCTGCAATACGTAAGTGAAAAGTAGGAAAAAATTAAAAAACGGAATTAATTATTTTAATGAGTAAAGTTTGGCTGTATTACTATGAATGTTGACACAAATTTGTCCGTTATTAATTATAATTACTAAATAAAAATCTTTAACTCCAGCGAATATTAAATTTAAACTAAATTAAGAATTTCACAACAAATAAATGCGATATTTTATAAAATAAATATAAAATATGTGAGTATATATAGTCGAATCGACCTGGGTCATTTGACCCGATTCGGAAAAAATTCGAGTCGGGTTTATGTCATGAATCCTAATTTCTTAAAACCCGTCGGGTTAGGGTCTCGACCCGGGTGACCCGAATGATCAGGTGATGTTATTAAATGATATGTGATATGCGCAACATTTTGAGTGAAACTATCGACCTTATTAATTCCGATAATACAGCTTCTCTTGGAAATCGAAAATAATTGCGAAGCGAACTTTTTGCTTTTGAAGCGAAACTTCTTCCACCTGAATACAAATTTCAAAAACACATCAATTCAAAAACGCATCGAGAAGTTAGATGTCTTAACTGCTCGTGTCTTTTTTAAATAGAGTATAATTTTGTATATTTTAGGTTGATATTTTTTTTTTCAAAAACATTAGTGGACATAAAATGTGGCTCCGCGCAATCATCAAATAGAAAAGAAATTATTTTAATAAACCCTGTTGAATGATTTTAGACTTAATTTGCGCATGAATTCCTGGAGCCAATAATATATTTAAAAAATCTAAATTTGAATTAATATACAACCAATACAACCAAAGAACTTTAAAAATTAAAATTTTTTTTTTACTTTCAGAATTAATATTACTTTAAAATTCGAGTCGAATACGAGTTAAACAATAATCGGATCGGGTCGAACAATAATCGGGTCGAGTCGAATTCGGGTCCTGTAAATATTAACGGGTTCGAGTTCGAGTTTGCTTCAAACCGACCCTTACGGAGCACTAAGTATATATATATTTTTTTCCTCTCCATGTATCAAGACTTGTTCGCTTTAATTTAGAAATCATATGGTTTTCCAATGAAGAAAACCTTATTATAGAAATTTTAATCTCCTCTTTCCCATGGCATGCTCAAAAATATTAAATATTTCTTTATACAATCCCGAAAATTACTTTAATAGTAAAGAAAAGCTTAATCGTAAACGGACGACCAAAAAATAACCCCTGAAAATATAGTCTCTATATTCGTTAAGATAAATCTATCCCACTCAAAAATATTTACAATAAAATATCACAAAAGGAGTACAGCTCCATTGCTCAACTATTTCAAAGCATATGACAGGTGCTGAATATAAAAATGTCTTTAACACACCAATAAAAGCAATTGAATGAGCCATGATTATTTACAGACGAAACAACAATTCAACGAAGATGTAAGGCCAGTTAGATGTATGTCAAAAGGTCGAACTAAAATCTTGCGTATGGCAGGATTTTTTTTTAAACGATAATAGCAGGTAATTTTTATGTGTAAACATCTAAGCGAGGCTTATACCAAAAATGGACAAGAATTAAGTTTTCCAACTTCATTATTTTTAATTAAATTAAAAAAAGAAAATGTGCAACTGATCAATATTGTTTTTTTTTTGACGAATAACAATTATTTATTTAGTTAATTAATAAATGAAAAATTATTTGTTTTTTTACTTAATAAGAAAAATGACTTCTGTTATCTCGACAATAGGGAGCAAATCTGTGCAATTCCTCCAAAAATAATCATCTGATTTATTTATCCCAGAAACATTTATTATCGTAAACTATATATAATTTAAAAGCTAGTACAAGATCCGTACCACCTTCTTTAAAATAAAGATGTATATCGTTACAATACTTTCCCCCTACCCAGCCATCCCACCACAAAATTGGATCTATATGGAATGTACCAAATAATGTATGAATAGAGAGTTTATATCCTATTGACCAATCCGGAGATGTATATGATGTTGGGCTTCGAATTTTTATGTTGCAATCAGTCCATTTCTCTTGTTGAGTATAATCGTACCAATGAATGCATATTGCACTTATAACATCAGCTCCTCGTGGATTAAACGATACGCTATGTATGGGATATGTACGATACGATTCTTCATGTATAGGATATGGATGGGAGGAAGTATTGATAACAGATAATAAAATTATCAATAATCCTAAATTTTTGTATTTACGTACGAACATCGTAATTAATAAATATTACTTTTTTTAAGTAATTTAATATTTATCATACGACTCAAGTTCAATTTATAATAAAATTTTGACCTATATATGAAATTTTAGTCACGTGACATGAAAAGACCAAAGAGAATCAAAACTTAAAAAAATCCTAACTGAATGACAAGATACCTAGCGGATGAAAAAAGCCAAATAGAGGGGAATTTAGAAACTGTAATCATAATGAATCCAAATGCGAAATAAGCATTTCGGATATCCCAAATCGGTTAAGTCCCAAATGCGTATCCAAAATGCGCATTTGGGGCAAATGCATGTCTGAAACGATATGCGCTTTCCGATCCGAAACCATTTCGAACATTAACGCATTTGGGCTACAACAAATCAAATTCGAGCATTAACTGCGACCCTCTGGCACTACGATACCATATGATTTACCCCTTTTTTCTTTTAAAAAGGATTTTTTTTTCAGAAATAATTTAAAATGTCTATTTCTGATAATAAAGGCAACGTGAAGTTCAATAAACAGTAAAAGTATAAAGTCAAAATGCATGTATGCATGTGCGACGCTTTTTTCTCAGATTCAAAAAAGATTAATAATAATAGTTTGTTGACTTCTGTGTCTCCTTTCTCCTGAAAAAATTTATTTTGAAGGAGGTGCTTGTGTGACGAAATAATAGCAGAGTAATATGTAAAGTAAATCAACGGTATCACTAGCCAATCAGAAATTGCCCGTCATATCCAATCAAAAAAAAATAAATAAATAAACTAATCCAGTCCCAATTTTAATTTCCTAACTAGAAGTTGCGATATGCAGGGGACTCCGTCCCCCATTAAATATCTTATTCATATAAATAAATTTATATTATAATCAATAATATTCGTATCTATATCTACATAAATTTTTGTTGTATTTGTAAAGTTATTTAATAAATTTTGAAATAAGAGAGTTTTTTAATAGGAAATTTCTATTTGAACACTAGGTGTATAAACCCGATGATCGACAAATCATGTGATTATATTTTTTTTTTGTTAAAAACTATTAAACTAAATTCGTACAAGTTTTAGCATAATGATCTAAATGTTTACATTTACTACATTTACGACCTTTAACACCATTAGTATCTTCTATAGAACCATTAATTATATTAAGTTCTGTATTAGAACTCAATGGATGTTTAGCTTTATGAGATAACTGTTTCACATTAGATTTAAGCCTTTTAGGAGGACGTTCTTTATGTGCTGTAATACTAGGATTAATAACATTTATATTATCGTTTTATACTTGTTCTACTTTGTTTTGAAGTTCAAATAAAAATGACTTGAGAATATCTGATAATTCATAATGTTGCTCAGCCTTAATTGCAATATCAACCACTTTTTTTAGACAATCCTATTAGCTTTCCATAAATCACTTTCTTTGGTTCTAATCTTGAATTATTGTTTGAATTAGAATGAATCAAATAAATGTGTTAAAATATCAATCCTGAATTAATGTCAGATTTTTGTTGTTGAACAGATATAGATATAGGAATTGCTGATATTTAAGAATAAGAGCTATATGAAATATTGCTAATGAAGAGTATGTATCAACTCTAAAAAGTACCAGCAAATTAAACCTTTATTAATTAAAGAAGACATGTACAAAGATGTGTACCATCTTTTAATATTATCACATAATAGCCAAGTCCTATAGCAAAAAAAACTTATCTTGTATCATAATCCTGTTCTCTAATTCAAAGTTTGATTTCTTCATTATCTATATCAGTTTAAAAAAAAGAATGTATTTAATCAAGTTAATAATTGACTATAATAAAATCAAAAATAAAATTAAATCTTTACCTCAAGTATATTACGCTATTCATAAATTTGTATAACATCATAGTATAATCTTTTATTCATTTGATTTCTTTGTTTACCAAGCATAATAAGTATGAGAAATTTCTTTAATATTTTGTCAACTTGATCAAAGAATCAGCTATTTGTCATTAGTAATCTAACAGACGGAAGAGCATTGTGTTGAATCTCAAATTTCATCAAATGTTCTTTCTGATTAACATGATCTTTAATATTAATTAATAAATCATATAAAGAGGTTGCATAATCAACTTTTTGGTGTATATGTATATTAATAGATTCAATTCTTTATGTACTTTGTATACCACCTGTAAATTGATTATATAACTAAGGAACTATCTATGATTCTTTATTGTTGTAAAGAGTTTCTATTAGATATTTTTCAGCTATTGAATATTTAGCTACTAGTTTTACCCAATAACTTTCAAATAATTCTTCAAATAAACTATTCTGACATGTATAAAAATCAGAATGAAATAATTCAAACTGAGTACCCAATTTGCTTTTCAACTTTTTTCTTAGATTCAAATCTATATGAAATATACATAGCATATGTTTAGTAGTAGAATAAACTTGTTTAATTGCACTTATCATAGTAGGATTATTATCAGTAAATATAATGTTAGGTATGATACCAGTTTCTTCAAGTAATGTTTCATATATTCATCTAAAAGTATCTAAAGTTTCATCTTCTATAATATTACTAGCTATAATTCTTGTTTTATAATTATAGTAATAATATAAAGCATCATTTGAAAATAATTGGTATTTGCTGTAGTATCTATTATTACAATATCATGAAATATTTCATAAAGAGCTCTTTGTTCTGGTGACATCCAAATTAAAGAATTTAATTTTCTTGATATACTTTCAACTGTGATTTAATGATCCATAATGGATTCTTATCCTTCCATTTTAATAATATTTGTAGTATTAAAGAAGCATCTGAATCACCTGAGTTGTTCTTTTTCTGAAGATTATAAACAGTATTATACAAATCATGTCTGTATAAAGGATGATCCAGATAATCATGTTAAAGTAATGGATATATCGATCCTGAATCCAATCTATCTTGAATAACATATTTTTCAATATCTGCTAACATTTCAGATGTTAATTTGCAAAATCGTGTACTGATCTCACCAATTATAGTAGTAAGTGAATGATTATGGGTATCAATAAAAGAATTGATTTTAACTATTGACATTGTTTTGGGATAGGTAATATTCAATTTCCAATGACATTCAATTCGTTGAGATGTAACTACACAATGTTTAATAGGATTAGATGTTATCTTTGGATTGTGTGTACCAAATTTGGTATATGTATATGTTGCTTTTCTAATTATACTATCATTTATATCACTAGTTCGAATTTTGTAACTGAATCCTTTGATTTTGCAAATTGATTGATCTAAATTTTAAAAGATTACCAGTTTGAAAATGAAAGGCCAAACTTCAATTTTAGTGATGACTCATGATCCCTATTTTCATTTTCATTTCATTACCAATAGTTTGAATATCTAAAGGTAAGTAATTAAAAAAGCCATCAATATTATCATTAAAGGAAGCAATATCGCTACTTTCAAAAGTATAGTAGATGTTAATAAATAGGAGCATCAGATTTATCAGGTTTGAGGGTAGCATTTGATTCAAGATTTTTATCAGAACTATATAATTCAATATCATCACTATTAAGATCGAACAATCTTGTAAACTGATAGTTAGTCAAACCATCAGAAAAAGTATTAATAGTATTTTTTTATTATTTGACATTGTTAAATTTAATAGAATATAATAAATCAAGTAAAACTTACCAGGTTTAATTATAGGTATTTATGATATGCTAACATAACAAATAAAATAAAAAATGGTGAAAGAAATTTGTTACAGAATCTTTATAACAATTAGGAGAAATGTTTTGGTAAAAAAAAATAAAGAGAGAAGTAAAAGATTCAATTTACATCAGAAACATGCAATTTTATGATATGAATCACATAATGTCAACAAAATAAGTTTATTTTATTAAAAAATCAAATATCAAATTTAACAAAATTAAACACATGATATAATAAATATTTCAATCACATGATAAGTGTCTGAACACATAATGTTTAATAAGAAGTATTCTATAAAAAAATATTGATATATTTTTATATTTATTATTTTAGTAAAATTTTCAAAATGATTACTAATAAAATTAAAATTAAAGTTACAATAAATCTGCAAGTCAGATAACTATTAATACAATTATGAAAATATGTATAACTTTGCAATTATTAATCCAATTTAATAAAAATTTATATGCAAATATTTATAAACTTGTTAATCAACTTTTCTTATGTGATCAAAGTTGATTTTCTTTGACTAAATGCTTAAATTGCTTTTTAAATTCACTATACAGATAAAAATATAAAAAAATTTCATGAGATAATACAATTATAAAAATATGCATAATTTTACAATTATTAATTTAATTATAATAAATATTTATATTTATATATTTTCAAATCTACTAAACAATTTTACTTATGTGAGTAAAATTGATTTTATTTAACCAAAATCCTTAAATTGCTCTTTGAAGTCATTGAACAAATAAAAAAAATAAAAAAATTTTATGAGATTATACAATTACAAAAAATGTTTATAACTTTATAATTATTAATTCAAACCATAATAAATAATTATATATACATATTTTAAATCTATTAAATAAATTTATTTATATGATCAAAGTTGATTTCTTTTACTAAAGTACTCAAATAGTTTTTTTGAAACTATTGAATAAATAAAAAAAAATTAAAAAGTTAATGTAATTGCAAAAAATGTTTATAATTTAAAATTTAATTTTTTGGTTATAATAAACTACAAAAGAAAGTATGTAAAATAAAATTAAAGATGTTTTTTAAAAAAAATAAATCAAAAAAATATTTTTAATTTTAATTTGATTGAATAATCTGAATTTTATCAGATTAGATTATAAGTTTGATCTTTGAGATTGACCTGAAATTTATCTACTTGTCTTGGATTTTTAGGTCAGATCAGATTGGATTAAAGTTGACCTAATCTGATTCAGAGCTCTATAACATATATATATTACTAATTTAATAAGAATAAGTTATCATTTTAGTATTAATGATAAGAAGACATATAATGTCAAGTTTTAATATATTAATTTTATCTCAAAAGTTATGATTATATAATATCAGTTTATCATATATTTAGTCGATTTATTTTGATAAAATATAAAATTTTAATACTCTTAAATATTTGGTTTAAAGATTAAAACTTTTTTCTAATTTATTACTAGAATATTCTTATTATTTTATAAATTGAATACCTAAATTATTTTAGATCATAAGTTTATTTAACTACTTTTATTATTACAATATGATTGCTTTTATCAAAAAAATTTCTAGCAAGCTTTATTATTAAAAATAGTATTAGATAAACAATTCAATTGATCTTAACTAATTGAAATTCCTTAAAATCATCGAATATATAGAAATTTGCTTTTTTATTAAGGCAATCAAACATCTACGTTTGTCAAAACTAGAATTAGATCAAGCTAATTTATTATGAGTAATCCAATCCAGTGAATAAAAGCTAGCTTTAATCCCTAACTTAATTATTGATCCAATTACTAGAAACTATTATATTTGTTAAATTTCAAGCAAAAATATTAATGATTTGATAATTTTGGCTTAATTTCTATATTATTTTATAATATTATTTAATATTTTAACATTTCATAATTTAAAATAGACAATATTTCATATATAATTATTAAAAATTCAATATACAATTATTTTTTTATTATATTGATTTATTATAAATTCAATTAAATCTTAAATATTTTTAATGCTAGTAATCGACTATAAATAATAAATTCTGATTTTTGCTAAATTTTATTTGATGTTTAATATTAGATAAATAAGAATAAAATTTCATTTCATTATAGATTTTTTATTTTCAATTAGTAAATTATTAACCATAAAATAGGTAATCTAGTTTTATTGATTTTTACTGTAACTATAATATTTTACTTATATTTTTTGTTGAATTTTAGATGAAATTTAATGTTTGCTGATTTTTTTTTGTTAAATATTATGGATATATATAATTATTTCAGAAAATAAAATAATATAAATATATAATTAAAAAAAATGATTTGTTTATTTAATAATTACAAATTATCATTTGTTATATGATAAATATTCTATATAGTATAGTAGTGTTTATTTATAAAAATAATTATAAGTTTTTAATAATAAAAATTAAATATAGTAAAATATTTTAATTTTTTTTTAAATATAAAAAATTAATTAAATAAAATTATTAATATAATTATTTTAAATTCAAAACATTTATTTGTCATCTATAATAATTAAATCATCTATAAATTTAAATAAAATATAAGTAAATAAAGTAAATAAAATTAAATTATTTAAATTTTTTAATTTATTTAATATTAATATAGTTACCAATACTTTGACTAGCTTCTACTGTATTTATAATATTTTGATTTAAGACTTTATTTAATCTTTCAGTAAAATTAAGTAAACGACTTGTATGATATGCTTGTGAATGAGATTCTATATAATTATTATTATCATCAAAATTATTATTTTGATTTTGTTTTAATAACTTATCTGCTTTATAAAAATCTATAATTTCATTTTTTAAAGTTTTATCAAAATTTTTCTTTTTAATATTATTATACCATCTTTTAATAATATTTTTAATTTCTAATGCAGTTGATCTTTTTAATGGATTCTCATCCCAACATTTTTTCATTAAAATTATATAACATTGTAGAATATTTTCAACTTTAGGACGTTTACCTTTACAAATATCTAAACTAAGTTGAAAATCATGAGCTTTATTATCAAATGGAGGAACTCCAGATATTAATTCCCATATAATTATAGAAAAACTATATATATCATTAGCTAAAGTATATGGTTGACCTTTTAAAACTTCAGGTGCCACAAATGGTAAAACACCATAAATATCATTATTTTTAGATGATTGAAAATATTTTACAGGTTTGCATAATCCTAAATCACTAATAGATAAAATTTTAGCTCTAATATTTAATATATTATCATGATAAAAATCACAATGAATAAATCCTTTTTGATGTATTTCATCAAGTCCACTAATGATATTAAATAATTGTTTAATTTTAATAATCCATTTATCTTTAACTATATTCAATAATTTTTCTTAAGTTACTATTATTCGCATATTCCATAACTACCATATAATTTAATGTATTTGGATCTTGAGTAAATTCATATAATTGTATAAGATTTTCATTTGAATATTTTTTTAATTGACTATAACATTCATAATGATATTTTCACTAAAATAATAAAAATTAATTTAAAACTTTTTATAACAATAAATTAAAATAAAAATAATTTCATACTTCATTTAAAAATTCTTCATTTAAATTAGATGAATTATCAAGACATTTAAAAGATAATTTTATTACTTTACTTCTAATCCAATTATTATTATTATATGAATAAGATTTAATAAATCCATCTTTCCAAAAAGCACTATATATAGTGCTAAATTCTCCTTTATCAAGATATATAATATTTTCAAATTTATTATAAGGAATCCATTCTAATATTTGTCTTCTATTTTTAGCATTTAGTTGAATATTTTGAATAAATTTATCAATGAATTTATTTTTGCTAGTCCAATTAGAAAATTGTTGTAAAAATAATTTAGAATTACATTCATTACACCAATGATATCCAGTAGTTTTTTTTATTACATTTTGAGCATATTTCTTTTTTTCTAAATATATTTTAAATTATTAGTAATTATTTTATTATATTTTTAGAAATAAAGTATAATACTTACTAAATTTAATAGATTTATTATATTTAATAAATTTTATAAATTTAATATTTTTTTAAAAAAAATTATATTAATAATTATGATTAATATACTAATAATCAATAAAAAAAACTTACCTTCTATTAAATTAATTGTTTTTTTAAATAAAAAATTTAATTAAATTTAAATTATAATTAAAAGTATAATTAAATACTAATAATAAATAAAAATATCTTACCACCTTTAGTAATATTTTTAATTATAAATAAAAAATTTAGTTGAGTTAAATTACAGTAAAAAGTATAATTAATTGATTTAAATTATTACTTTCTATAATATTAATAAAAATTAATATTATTATTTAAAATTTTAGTTAAATTGATTTATCAATAAAACTTACGTTCTAAAATATTAAAATATAATTTAATAAATTTTAAATTATTATAAATAGCATAATTAATATATATGCTTAATAAAGATAATTTTACCGACTAAAATAACATTAAAATAAATTAGCTTTGTTTAAATTACAATATAACAAATCAAAAATCACTTACTCCCTATGTTATGATTGGTCATTAAATATTGTATTTTTTAATAAAAAAGTTTAATTTTATGTATGTTTATAAAAGTTAAATGGCTTACAATCTATCAATAACGATTAAATTAATTATTTTTTTAAAAAAAGTAAAGAATAAAATAATAAACAAATAGATTAATGCTTATTGCCATGTAATTCTCTTAATGTAAGGGCATCAGGAGCATTCGAAACTGGCTCTATCATAATATATTTATTTATGTTGAAATTATTTATTAAGATTGTATCATAGTTTAATGTACTTTACCATCTAATCCTCCTATTATTTGAAATAAAATTGAGAATAATTAACAGATTATTATATTTGTTAAATACTTATATTTGCAATTGTATTTACCTTCATCTTTTGAAACTACTTCTTTATTTCAAATATTTAAAAATTTTAGTAAATCAAAATATAAAAACGAATTTCATTTGCATTATTATAGTTATATATTTAATTTCATCACTTAAGGTTTGTTTTACATTACAATTTAATTATTTATATATTTACCTTTGTCATTTGAAGCTAGTTCCATGTTAAATTTGATAAATTTAACTTTTAGTGAATAAATATAACAAATTCTTATAATATTTAAATGTGGTTAATAAAACATAAAATTACCTTCTAGCTCTTCTAATGACGACGTTTCCTTAGCATTCGATACTGACTCTAAAGTGTTAAAATCTTTTTTTTTTTTTTAAGAAGAAAATCATCTAATCGTTACCCTTTATTCCTTTTTTTTGTTTGATGAAAATGTTTTAAGTTTTTTTTTATTACACTTTTACCTTTATTGTTATTATCAGTCATTGTTATAATTAAAAAGTTTTATAAAAAAAAAAAGTTTTTTTTTTTTTCAACACTTTCTTGTATAACGAGAAAATAATGTTGTGGTGATACATATTGTAGATATATATATATAAGATGCTGCGGTAAATATTTAATTTTTATCATAACTTTGGGTGATAATTTATTTGACAACATAAAATTAAACTTTTTTATTCTAATTAGATAAAAAAATATATATATATATATATTTTTAGACGTGTTAAAAATATTCTTAAATTAAGAATATTTTTTTTCATTTTTATTGGCTTATTATTTTTTTTTTAATTTTGAGTATCGTTGTAGCAAACAATTATTAAGTAATATTTTTCTTTATAAGAAGTATCACCCATATATATGATGTAGACGATCTTGTTTTTTGATATTTTTATTGATATCAAATTAAGTTTTTTATATCAAAATAAGCTACATTAATATATTTTAAGCTAGTAAATAAAAATATACATATTATTATTTTTATACATTATTTAATTCCTGAAATAGATGACGAAAATGGATCTTTATATCATTAAAACAATGTTTTAGTATCAAATCATTGTACTTATCTAATTTTTTTCAAAAAAAAGAATTTTGCTAAATATAATAAAGAAACATATAATTTGTAATTCGTTAATAAATGCTTAATCCATCTAGCAATGTTGTTAAAATGTAATAAAGGATTTGGAGTTGATATATTGGCCAAGAAATTGTTGATGCTATTTAACATAATATAATTGAATTAATGCTTTAAAATTTAATAAATTCTAAAATAAATGAAATATTAACATTCCTGCTTCAAATATTATTAGATGTTTAAGTCAACATCATAAAATCACACGATATAAAATAATTCCATTTTTTTAGACTTTACTGCTTGCATAATTCTACTTTTCATTCAGAGCTTAATATTAATACCGAAATCGACGAGCGTCATTTTTATTCTTCAATTATAAAAATAAATTACAAAAACTCGATGTACAAATATACAATACTGTATATACATATTTAAATAGGATGTTCCTTGTTTCTTTTTTTTTATTTCTTCAAAAAATAAAATAAAATACAAAAATTAAAAACAGCTAACCAAATATTTTACAAAATTTAATTATTCCGAATTTTTAAAGTTCTGTGCCCTATAAGCTCAAAACTTAACACATATCTGATCTGTTGGAAGAAGGTGAAAAGCGGGCACCGCCAATTTTCCCGCCAGATAAAAATACGCTAAAACCTTTATAGAAACTATAAGTTTATAATTTATGAATATGCAATTTGAAAGAGAGGAGATAAACGAAGTTTCCCTGGTCGGGATCACTGTCAATATTATAATAAAACTTGTTAGCCAAAACCGTCAAAACTCAAACCATAATATAACCTTTCAAAACTAAATTAAATCCGTCAAAACATAGGGGTTTACTTTTGAAATTGCTAAAAAGCTTTTTTCCAGAAAAATATAGGTGACCAGATTGAAGTATCTCACCTATTGAAAACAAAAAAATTTTTTTTTTGTTATAAGTAATATTTGCTTAAATCTAAAACTTTACACAAATTTCATTTTAGATGACCAAAAGCACATTACACTGTAAATAGCAGAGCAATTACTTTCACATTCTTTGGTCACAAGAGGTTGTAAGATTTCACTAAGGCCAGCACTACAAATTTGGTCAGAACTAGTTGTAATTTACAAATCCGAAAATTAAATTTTGGAAATTCTGAATCTTGAAATTCGTAATTTCCACTCTAAGATGATACTGCATTTATCCACCAACAAATATCAGGTCGCAACCCTTTGCTTAAGTTCACATATCTGTCAACATTATGCCATTTCTTCTAATAAAATTGTATCTTCAAATTCTTCAAATTGCGTGGAATTATAAAAATGCACATATTAATTAATTTATTTTAGTAGTATTGTCGATGACAACAATATTTGTACAATACATGTACAATTTAAAATAATTATCAAATTGATTATGTATTACAGTATCGGTGTCAGAATAAACTTTTTTTTTGAAGGATCAAAATTACAAAGATTAATTGTGAACGTCCAAACATTTTTTTTTTTTGGATCATCCAAAAAAACATAGATTTTGTGTTACAAGTTTCGTTTATCCTGTATATACTTGTGAGAAGTCTTTTCATAGGGCAAATATAATTTGTCCGGCTAAAAGAATGACCATCACCATAATTAGGGTTTCCGGTTGAAAAACAAGGATATATCGAATTATAAAATCTTCAATATTTCGAATATTTTGAAACCTATAATTTTTTTTAATTTCAAACGGAATTCCCAACTCATATATCCATGACGAACTTTTTTTTTTAACTGTTTCACAATTTAATTTCAACGTGGATCCATTCGTTTCAGAATAGATATATATTTATATAAAAATGGTGCGGTTCCGTTATTACCTAACCCAAAAAAATACTGCAAGAGTTAGTTGAATTTTAATATTTAATTAAATTATGTCCAAAATTAAAGAATTGCATCATACATGTGTAACCATGAACTTTCAATTTGGCATTTGTAAAACCAAATAAATAAAAATCGACATTATTTTTTTTTCACACATGATCGATCATGCAACCAAAAAGTTAATAAATGAAAAATACTAAATACGTTACAAAGAAAAACCTTTTTTACAAGATTAAACCTTATTAGGAAATTTACAAACTTAGGGAAAAAAAATGATCCCTATCAAAATTTGGACTAGAGTTTAATTTTCGTGATTATGGGAACTCAAAAACTTATTTTTCAAATCTGAAGTTTTTATTTTTATAAAAAAAAAAGAAAGTGTAATTTATCCATTTATTTACAACAAGGTGATCCCAAATGGTAAAAACGAAACCGCATGTCAAGTTTAAATAAATTTCGTACAATGTATTTTGATTGCAAAATATAAAAAATAAAATAATTTTTTTTTTTTTTTGAATCCTCCGTTTCAAACAAATTTCAACAAATATGCGAATATGTAAACTTGGTGAATCACCGTAATAAAACTGCGATATAATACATATTTGTTTATGTACCGAATTAAAAGTTAACGACCGAACAATTAAAACTCAATTATATGTTTATTTAAAATAAAAGGAAAAAAATCCTCCCCACTTTTTTTAATTTCTTATCGTCTTCCTTCGATTATTTAGATCATTAACAAAAGGTAAACGATCAAGGATAAATGCTAACTCCCTTTATAAATCAAAGGAAAGAAGATATTATATAAAACGATTTTATAGGGTCCGGTATTCTATTAATATTGAAACCTTCTAACACACTATAAACTATCCTTTCTATATATTTCTTCATTTTTTTTTTATTCCTTTCAAGATTCAACCCCCTATATAAATGGAATTCAAGTTTTAATATATTCTTTTATGAAGCGATTTTGTTTCACATTTTTAAAATAAAAATAAAAAAAGAGTAAATAAACGCAAATGAATACTTCAACTACTTCAACTATAAGAAATATTATAAAAAGACATAGAATTAAAGGGCAAACCGAAATGAATATTTTTAATAAATGGACACAAGGCAAGAATGGTAGTCATATCGGCGCTCCAATACCGTCTGTTACCGCTACTGCCATACAACCACAACCTACCACTACCAATACACTTTTTTCGAAAGATAATCCAAATCATAAACCATTCATGGCTGGTATGATAATAGCAGTAATCATTGCCGTAATATTTATTGGTTATATCTTAAAGAAAATCTTTTCTTACAACGCTCGTAAATGTCCAAGACCGTTATTAGATGCTACAAGTTCATTGGAGAGTAATAGTAATATCAGTCATGAAAGCAGCATTCATCATAATATTTGTGATACATTTCCTTCTAACCCAACCGAAGAATCGGCTAGTGAAGGAATGTATCACACTAACAGTAATACCATCGAAATCTTAGACATTCCAAATCCTAGTGCCACGGAACATTCTTATGAAACTTCTAGTGTTGGTGATGTGGATATAGAATTACCTTCTTCCAAAGTTAATGTTAATTGGGAAGATTGTATGAGATAGTGTATGTACAAAATTATGAACAATTATGAAAATATGCATTTGATTTGGTGCATTCCTTTATTTAGAAATAATAATTTATATAGTTGGGTTGTGATTTTTATTTTTATTTTATTTTTATTGTTCATATTGTTATTGTAAAAAATATGACTGTATAATCGGAGAAAAGCGAAAAGTTTGAACTCAAACAGGTATCACACCAATGGAAAATGCAGTAAATAATTATAGAAATCCCGAAACTTCTAATTGATTTAAAGTAAAAACAATTTTTATTTGACACATTTTCTTGGCTTAAATACTTAAATATTTGATATCCTACAACTAACTATAGAATATGTAACCATCTTATTCAAACTTGTTATCATGTGATTTAAACTAAATTTACTGTTACACGATTTAATTTGATTCATTGGGAGATCTACAGTAAATTCTCAAATTACATCGAGAACAAAACTAGGAATGTCACCATCAAATTTATGCACTACATTATTAATTGGTGCACATGTACTAGGAAGCTTACTCTTTTGAAAATAAAGAATTGGTAAAAATAGCAATTTTTTTCAATCGCGCGCCATTATTTTTATTTATAAGTCTAATAAATCTATATTTCAACTTTTCATTAATCATGTAACAATACACGCGATAAGTATATTATTGCACATCATTTGTAATAAAATATTTAAAATAAACAAATGTCCTAGCATTATGTAATATTTATTTTTTCCTGGAAAAATTAACTCCATAAGGACATTATTCATACATACATGTGCACTAATGCTAAAGTTACTAAACTAATTACATTTTAATAATTATCTATTTATGATTTGAAATACTTCATAATCTTTTATAAAAAATCTATCTTCGGTATCTCTTATCTTTTTTTCATAATTAGACTTTTTGCAATAAATTGTATCGTAATCTACTGTAAATCCAGTTGATGAAAATATGAAAAGATCTGTATCTCCAAAACGTGGTCCACTAAAATAATAACAAACCAGTGCATGATCTATATTCTCAATTTTACTCAAAATCGCATCCTTAAAAAAGTCATTCTTTTTTTTAAAAGAAAATATAAAACTATCCTTAGTTTTGCAAAAAGTATCATTAGGTTTCCATGTTGTAGGATTGTATCCACCAATAATTTCTTCCGACCCTTCCACTTTAATAAATGTAACGGTAAAATGTATATCATCACATAATTCATGAAATTTATTAGGAGTAAATCCATCACGATTCCCTCTTAACAATAATTTAAATTTATATGGTAAATATAATTCTCGTAGATGAGAGAATTTGCTGTTAAAATCCACTTTATCAATCCATCTTGAAATTGTTGAAACGATGTTTAGGTTTACAAATTTTGAACCAATAATCCCTTCATATTTAATGTTCCTTGGAAATAAAATATTGTCGGTTGGTTCACTATCAGGATCCAAGTAAGAATTTGACAAACCTTCATAAAGTTGACGATTTAATAGTTTTTTGTACGGACGAACTTTTTGCGAGAATTCTTTGGACGAAAAACTAAAGAATCTAATTAAAGGTAAACATTGTTGTAAAGTATTTTCCATCATCTTGACATCATCATTTTTCCAAGTTGCGGGGTCTGAAACAAGTGTTGGATTTTGTGCAAGACCCCATCTTAATACATGCTCCCAAACTTCCACTTCTTTCATTTGTAAATCGTCACTTTTAAGAATATTGATTAAAGATTTTTCAGGAAGTGAAGTAAAATCAAGTGATTCAAATATTTTTTCTGGTGTTTTGACCATTAAATTCGTACAAAATTGTTGAAGTTTCAATAAATTACTCGAATGGAAACTTGTATAATGAGTAAATTCAAAATGTTGCTCCATCCATTCATATTCATTTTCAATTAAATATTTTTGTAAGTAATCAACTAGTTCTTGAAGAAGAAGATTAACAGCTGCCATCAAAACTTTAAAAATGGCTGAACCGTCTTTCCCATTAAGCAAAAGAACGCCGCCATAAATATATCTATAACAGAAATAATTAAAAATATTAATAATGTTATATATCGATACTTAAGTTAGTTCACACTTACTTTAAAATAATTTGAAAGGTTTCTGGAGATATATTTGGCAACCTCAAATGAGCCAAGACATCATCAAGATTTTTTTTATTCGAAGCCAATATTCGTCGTAAATACGGAGAACGGTAACATAAAATATTCATGTGCGCACGAAATATTTTTACATCAGGATCTTCACCAACCTCCACAGTAACATCATAATATTCATCATCATCCAATAATTCAATGTAATTTTCACTTAACTTCGAAAAAAATTGTGAAGACATTAAAAAATTTTCAAGAACAAGGGTTTGTAGCATAAATTCTTTTTTAAGTCGGTATTTGGTTGATCAAATCGTGACAATTACTGTGCGACCATCTTCCTTTCATTTATATAAATTTCCACGTTTCAAATTATACATAGTTAGTTGTCATATATGACCTTAAATTCGGTCACTTTTTTGAAAGCTAAAAGAAGATTAATTAAATGTGTATGAATCAATTCAATTATGCCGGATAAGGTGATTGACGCCAAAAAAAAAAAATTAGAGAACATCGTCATTTTTTTTATTTCAATAAAATATTCTTAATTTTAAAAATAAGATTCTCTCAGACATCAAATACTAAATGGAAATAATTTGGAATACCTCATAATCTTCTATAAAAAATTCACCTTCGGTATCCATTAACTTCTTTTCATAATAATATTTTTTACAAAAAAATTTATCATAATCTGCTGCGAAATCATTTGATGAATAAATTAAAAGATCATGTCCAAAACATGGTCCGTGCTTCTTTTGATAATTTAATGCATGATTTACACTTTCAACATTACTCAAAATTGCGTCATTGATAAAATTATCCTTATTTTTAAAAGAAAATACAAAACTATCTTTAGTTTTACCCCATTCATTAGTAGATTTCCATACTAAAGGATTATATCCTCCCAGAATTTCACCTGATCCTTTTACTTTAATAAAGGTGACAGTAATATGCTTATCATCACATAAAGTATGAAATGCTTCGGGAGTAAATCCGTCTCGGCTCCCTCTTAATAATAATTCAAATTTATAAGGAAAATATAATTCTTTGTTGTTATGAAAATATAATTTATCGACCCATCTTGAAATTAAGGAAACAATCTTTATATTAATGATGTTTGAATCAACATTTCCGATTCTAGGGGGTGAAATATTATAGGCTATCTCACTTTCAGGATCCAGGTGATATACTAATAAATTTTGATAAAGATGACGTTTTAAAAGGTTTTAAGGATGAACTTTTCGTAAAAAGTTTTTAGAGGATAAGCTAAAAAATCTGATTAAAGGTAAACAATGTTGCAAGATGGTTTTCATTTTTTTGAAATCATCATCGGTCCAAGTTTCAGGGTCCGAAATAAGTGTCGAATTTTGTGCGATACCCCATCTTAACACATGTTCCCAAACTTCAACTTCTTCCATTTGTAAATCATCTCTTTTAATGATCGATATTAAAGATTTTTCGGAAAGCAAAGGAAAATCATGTGATTTAAATACTTTCTCAGGTGATTTAGCTATTAAATCTGTGCAAAATTGTTGAAGTTCAAGAAAATTATTAGATTGAAAACTCGTTCGATGTATAAGCTCAAAACTTTGGTCCACCCATACGGATTTATTTTCAATTAAATACTTTTGTAAGTAATCAACTAGTTCTTGAAGAAAAAGTTTATCAGCATCCACCAAGACTTTAAGGATATCGGAAACGTCTAACCCATTAAATGAAAGAATGCCACCATAAATGTATCTATAATATGAATAAAAGAATGTTTTAATTACGATTTATGGAAGATTTTAAGAGGAAGAATCAGAACTTCTTGCTGTTGTAAGACTATTTGGATTGTAACACTTACTTTAAAATTATTTGAAAGATTTCTGGTGAAAGATTTGGCAACTTTAAATGAGCTAAAGTATTATCATTATTTTTTTTATTTGAAGACAATGCTCGTCGTAAATATGGAGAACGGTAACACAAAATATTCATGTGCGCACGGAATATTTTTACATTAGGGTCTTCACCAACTTCCACAGTTACATCATAATATTCATCATCATCATCCAATAATTCAATGTAATTTTGACTTAACTTTGATAAAAATTGTGTAAACATTTTTATGAATTTTTGGGGGGATGGATGAGAGAAGTGTAATTGAGTAGGATTTGTAGCAGAAATTTCTTTTAAGTTAATTTTATGTCGATTAGTAATTAAGACAATTACGCCGAAATTTCTAATTACCGTTTTCCTCCAAAAATAAGCACTCCTCTTTGATTTAAAAATGTAAATTTGGATATTATGTTATGAAAGTGTCAGCATATTCATAATGGTTACGTTTAATTATCGATTTTAGCATTTATATAGTATTCATAAACAAATTGAATGTATTTACAAAAATATATATATATTAAATATTAAGGTTAGGAGCGGTTCACAGCTTGGCATGTAATCAAAATTTTGTGGTGGTAACCAATTGTAAAGAATATATGTGAGACTTGAGACAAAACTCACGAGGGTAAGTTTAAAGTGTGGCATTGTTAGGGGAGTGAAGAGAGGAGAGTGGAGAGCGAGATCATGAATGTTTTTTATCTTGTAAAGATGAAACGCATTTATTTTAGCGACGACGATAGATGCAAATCAATATTTAATAAGGAGCAATTACAATTGAGATGGTTATTATATAGTTTGCCGGGAGAAAATTTATTGACATTCATGAGGAAAACAAACTAATTACCGTTAATGTTTATTTTATTTGTCGTCTAACTCCCAATAAAATTTTGATGTCTGACTGTATTAAAAAAACTAAATAGTCAGAAAAATGCATATAGTCTAGTTTATTACTTTTTCTACTCGATCTTTAAATTTTTATATAATCGTTGTATTTATTAAAATTAGCATAACAAGCATTTAATAATTATATTTAGCATGGTCGGAATGATGATGAATGCATGATTATATTATTTGTAAACAAAAATTTATATAATATATCTTTCAACGAGGTGAAACAATCCCGACCTAAAGAGAAGCAATTACCACTATAAATTCTAATCCAAGTTATGTGATGTTATATTGATCGTTATCACCTCCATTAATGACGCGATTTAAGTTCGAAGTTATTTTTACATTCTTTAGATCAAAATTTATTAGAACCACAATTATGAACGTAATTGAAGATTGACGTCAAAACGAAAATTGTATCATTCACTTAGCAAATGCTATGGGAGACATCGTTCATGCAGCAGAAGTAATGGTAGACATCGTTCATTAGGGTGTGCGATATATTATGTTTATCGAAATTATGTATCGTCTACTAGTAAATCTTATTATTGAAGATTTATTAATAATAAATAACATTCGCTTAAGATTCGCTTACTTTAAATACGATACCTGATACGCTAACTTTGAACTCTATACGCTATAAATTAACAAATTTATAAATATTATCAATTCATATCATTTATCCCAAACTTTTACATAATGTTGCGTTTTTTTTACTCAAAGTCTTCAAAACTACTTTATATAACTCGCTCTTAAATTTATTTATAGATGATCAGATGATCATTTAACGAAATCTTTATAGGATGGTAGTAACAAATTGTCGCAACATTTTCATGAAGAATAGGTTAGTAAAGTGTATGGAAGCATTTAGAACTCTTTACATTTAAAATTGAATGAGAAAAGTTTTGAAATATTTTTTGATAAGATTGAAAACTATCACAAATCATCAATAAATATAAATGCTATACAAAAATCTCCAATATTAAAATTTACTAATATACTATACATACTTTTGATAAACATATTTTTCACACCCCAATCTTTAATGTTGCAAAGCCATAGGAGACAATAGGCCATTCCATACTGAATAGTTTAAAATCTTTTCCTTAATAACTCATTCAAAATATAGTCAATTGAATAAATATGGGAGGTTGCTAGGAAAATGGGCTCTGAGATTTTTTATTAAAATTTTAATATTTATTTTAATTTATAATATTTATGCCTTTATAATCTGAAATACTTCATAATCGCTTATAGAAAATCTATCTTCGGTATCCTTTATCTTTTTTTCATAATCAAACTTTCTGCAATAAATATTATCGTAATTTTTTATTGACTTATCTGATCCTATAAAAATATCTGAATATCCAAAACGTGGCCCATCAGTACTATGAGAACAAATTACACTCCTTTTATTATTAACTTTACTAAAAAGTAATTCTTTAGTATAGTTATCCATATGTTGAAAAGAAAATATAAAACTATTGTTAGTTTCACTACCGTCATTCCATGCTATGGGATTATATCCTCCCAGAATCTCTTTTGTGCATTGTACTTTAATAAATGTAACAGTATTAGGTTTATTATCGCATAATTCATGAAATGTGTTAGGTGTAAATCCATCACGACTCCCTCTCAACAATAATATAAATTTATATGGCAAATATAATTCTCGTAGATGAGAGAATTTACTATTAATATTATTATCGACTTTATCAACAATCCATCGTGAAATCCTTGATAAAATATTTAAATTAACAATTGTTGTATCAATGATTTTATCAATTTTAACCTTCCTAGGAAATAAAATGTTGTCGTTTGGTTCACTATCAGGATCCAAGTAAGAATTTAACAAGCGCTCATAAAGTTGACGATTTAATAGTTTTTTGTATGGACGAACATTTTGAGAGAATTCTTTAGATGATAAACTAAAGAATCTAATAAAAGGTAAGCATTGTTGTAAAGTATTTTCCATCACCTTGAAATCATCATTTTTCCAAGTTGCGGGATCTGATACTAGTGTTGAATTTTGTGCAAGACCCCATCTTAATACATGCTCCCAAACTTCCACTTCTTTCATTTGTAAATCGTCACTTTTAAGAAGTTTGATTAAAGAATTTTCAGGAAGTGAAGTAAAATCAAGTGATTCAAATATTTTTTCTGGTGTTTTAACCATTAAATTCGTACAATATTGTTGAAGCTCTAATAAATTACTTGATTGAAAACTTGTATTATGAGTAAATTCAAAATGTTGCTCCATCCATTCAGATTCATTTTCAATTAAATACTTTTGTAAATATTCAACTAGTTCTTGAAGAAAAAATTTATCAGCAGCTATCAAAGCTTTAAAAATGTCCGAAATCTAGCCCATTAAATGAAAGAATGCCACCTAAATATATCTATATTATGAACAAAAGACATTTAAATTTAAATTATTAATTATCAATAGAGGACGATTTACAAAAAATTTTGAAAGGGTTTAAAATTCTTGAGTATCAGGACTAAAAAAAATACTCTTATTTATATGTATCAATCAAACATACCTTAAAAACATTTGAAAGATTTCCGGTGAAATATTTGGCATCTTCAAATGAGTCAAGTTATTATCATTATTTTTTTTATTTGAATCCAAAACTCGTCGTAAATATGGAGAACGGTAACACAAAATATTCATGTGCGCACGGAATATTATTACATCAGGGTCCTCACCAACTTCCACAGTAACATCATAATATTCATCATCATCTAATAATTCGATGTAACTTTGAAAAAAATTGTGTTGACATTTTATAAAATATTTTTTAAGAAAAGAAAATAAGGTTATTGTGGTAGAAATTTCTTTTTAAGTCGATCAATGTAAACAATTTAGGTTTAATTAACTGCACTTCCATGAGCCAATTTTTTTTAAAAAAATTGACCGCGATTAACAAAATTCATTCATGTACCGGAGGGTACGGTCAAGATTTAGATAATTTAAGATGTAACTTAACCATGCCATGTTTCGTTAATTACATTTTGGTTCGTAAAATTGAATTTGAAAAACTTTAAATATTATTTAATTTTGCGCAAGTGATATTTTCGTTAGAGGACTATTTAAGAAAATGCTAATATCATAATTCATTATTTGAAATTTTTGAATAAATTCAGTGATATCATCGTTGTCACTAATCCATTTGCCAAAATTATTTTTTTGAAAACTTTTCGAATGAAAACAATGAACTCTGCGATACTGCAATTTTTATAAAATTTACGTAGACTGTAAATTTAATATTCTACAGGTCCAAAAAGTCATAGAAAGAGAGAAGTTATAACATACGACGCAAAACTTGTTTTCATTATATCCTGCAGGTTTGAAAGCTCTGACAAGTAGAAAGAGATGGAAAAAGGAAGTAATTCATATCATTCGGTTATGTTGCATATATGACTTATGAGTGACCATTGATAGTAGAAATTTCTTTTGAACGTTCTAGGACAAAATTTATAGGAGTTAAGCTATTGCTGTAACCCACCTTACTTTGTGAGTGAAACTGCCAAAGTTTATTATAATAGGTACAGGCAACATATTTGTTTTCCTTAACTGTTTATTTATTTAAGAAATTAATTTATTATTTATACAAGATTACAAACTTTTGATTTTTTATACAAATTAATATTAAAAATGTTCATCTTTATAATTACTTAACCTTGACCTGAAAATAAAAAATAAAATTAAATATATTTATACAAAATGTTTATAATAAAATCAATAATAATTCGAATTATGTAGAACGCAGTTACGCCACACTCTTGTTGGATTAACTATTTAGTAAATAAAGTTACAGCATTTCGAAATAAAAAAAATAAAATGAAATATAAAAAATAATATAAAAAAAAAAAAGGTTCATATTTTAAAACATATTTTTTAAAAACTTTCTACAAGAAATTTACAAAGTATCTTTCTTACAAAGTAATCATGAACCGAAATTTTATTTTTTTTATTGGTTTTATTTGCTAATTTTTTTATGACCGATGCTATTCTCCCGTTCCCGGAAAAAAAGATGAATTTACTATTTCCGGGAAATTTTCGGAAGACTTAACCCGCAGGTGCCTCAATTCTGCTTAACCTCCTCCCTCTTAACACAATTGGTTTTTAAATTTTTACTATATACAATTATATATTAATTTATAATTTTGTATTTTATATTTGAGAAATATTGATATGAGTAATGTTTTTTATTAATCTAATCATAAATTATAATTCTTTAATTACTCATTTTAATAATGTATCTTACGTTCATTTGTGTTGTATCTTTTATTTTTGGGATTTTCATACTATTTATTATTATTATTATAACTTGAACTATAAAAAAAAAAAAAAAAATTTTAAAAAAAAAAAATTAATCTCAATAATTTATATATTTTTATATTTTATTAATTATTTTATTAATTATTTTATTTTACAAATAATATCAAAAATCTAATTATAAAATAATTATTATTTATTACAGTTTTTTACTACTACTTCAAATTTATCCCGACACTTTAACCATCTAACCCATTCCACCTTAACTTTTAATATACTGCCTTGACTAGGTGTCGAAATGGATGATTTGTCCTAAATTTTGAACCTATTAAAAAAAGAAAAGTTGGAAAGCATCAGTAAGTGAAGGGGAATGATTCAAATGAGCGCCACCTCACGCATTCATATAAGTTCTCAGGCGTATGAATATAACTAGGTATGACTTCGACTACCCTTGAACATAAAGCTTCCGTAGAAACGAGAGGATCATAACTAAATTATAACAGGGACCGCAGGAATAAACTGTTTCAATGTTTAATTATCAATACTACAAAGTATCTCACAACTGGCCAGGTATTCCTAAGACACCAGAAGCATGTATAAATAGACACAATGCAATCAGATAAAAAGACATTTACTAAGCAAACCATATGAGAATTATAACCACAATTCGCCCAAGACTATTCGTCTCTTACACTTGACTACTGTAGTGAGACCCTTACTTACGTTTATTTTTGTTGTTCACAATTTTTTCGTTCGTTTTTGTTCTTCTCGTCATCGTCAGACCTTTCGGACCTGTAGAATACAAGAAGTGTAAAGACGAAGTTAGAGGAGAGTATTGAAAGCGAAGTTAACGATAAGAATTTTAAGAAAAAAAGACCACTTTTGTCAACAATGGGCGTTCAAAGGTTATGTTACTTCCTCAAAGAAAGGCGTGTGAAAAGAAACCAACTACTCGAAGGGAACTTTCACGTGCAAGGCAAACACTTCTAAGAGGATGGTTAGGCAACCCCCAGGGAGCGTCTGTATCCCCGTAATAAACCGTCGCTCTTAGCTTAAGACAGAAGATACCACCAGAAGATGCTTCTCCGTTTGAAGCTCAAACCTTTTACTAACCACACCATTTAACAAGAGTAGTTAAAGAACGACCGGACAGAGAAATAATATTAAAAAAATACCTCCCATAAATAATTGCTAAACTACAGGCATCCACAACTCAAGAGTCGATCACTATAATGGTGGTACATGTGTACCACTCATTACCAGCCCCATTTAAGCTACCCCAGAACAACCAGAGTAGCTAGTGCTGTCTTTTTTATGATATAATGACTCAGTTAGGATACCTTATGGCTGGTCCTTTTTTTAGGGACATCGTTTTATAAGTCATGGTTACTTTAGCCCCGGCTTGATTTAGGAGGGAATCTCATTACATAAGTCATGGTTACTTTAATCCCGGCTTGATTTAGGGACTTTGGGAATCTCATTTCATAAGTCATGGTTACTTTAGCCGGTTTGCCCACCCGGCTTGACATTCTCATAAGTCATGACTTTAGCCGGTTTGCCCACCCGGCTTGATTGAATTTCTTCACTTTCATTGTTTAGTCTAACTAATACCCAGCTCAAAATGTTAGACTTTGTTGGCATGTATTATAATATTGTAGAGAGAGAGAAAAAACTTCAAATTTTTTTTGATTTTTTTTTTCTCTCTCTCTACATGAATGGTTAACGAATAATTTACGAATTGGCTTTATTTTAACTTTACAGATTCTACGTTTTCCTATTTGAAAAATGCATGACGTGATGATCGGACCAATCATTAATGGTTTTGATCACGTTGTCACATCAAATAAATTCCTAAGCTTTTTGATGTTTTTTGATGTTTTTTGAAAAGCAATTTTGTATCAGAATTTCTCTTCTAATAAAATTCTACCAAAAACTTCACCCTTGATATCAAATGTTTGTAATATGAAGGTTTCCGTTTCTTCTATTTTGCTGAAGATTTTCGAGAAGAATCCGCATAGTATTTTATTTTCTTTATATTGTCGTGAAAATTCCAATAATTTTGCACTTTGTTGCCTGTGAATTTTTCGAAGCAATCCATATAACAGTATATATTACTTGAAAATCAGTATTTTTACTAGTTATCTTTCCTTCTCCTTTCAACCCAAATTTTTGAAGAAAATATCATGCTACTCTAATCAGTAAAAATACAGTATACCCAACGCGTAAGTACTAATCTCCTCTATACTAAATAATTGCTATTTAGCCAAAATACGCGTTCCTTTCGTATAACCTGCCTGCCGAACATGTGAAAACTTCTTTGACTTTTGTACTTGTTTAAGAGTTAAAATAGCCCATGACGCTTCATTCTATTGTTAATTCAATATTCGTTAGTGTGTGTACACTTTTTTAATAGGTAAATTTGACCAACGAGCCTCAAAGTATAAAGCCCAAGTATAATGATTAAATGGTATTAGTATTTTATCCCTGTTTCTCTTTTTTGAAGGTGACATCTTCTTCACTATTTATTATTTTAAGTCATTTAAGTCCAAAAATTTTAAAATAATTAATTACATTTAAGTATAATGAATGCAAAGATCGAATTTTTTTTACGTATGAGACTTGTTCCAAATGAAAGTACAAAATTTAAATATAATATTTTCTTTTTTTATTAGATACTGTATTGGAAGCATTCATCACATAACTGAGATAATTGTTTCTACTGGAACTGGACGCCGCCGCGTAGATTCGTTTAGGGTAGATAGAATAATTCATATATTACTCTTAATTTTGATTCGAAAATTTAACTATTTCATGATTGGAAATTCTGACTAGCAGGAAAAAGGTAAAATAATCGGACACTTTCCAAATTAATCTTTTTATATATATGTTTTTTGTTTTTTGATTTATAAATTAAAATGCCAGAAATATCATATTGCAAAACAAAGTTTTTTTTTACAGTATATCAACATGAATGTGAACTACTCTATTGATGCATCACGGAAAATTTCTTAATACTAAGAAAATGTCATAACATTGGAAATTAATTTTGATTCTTAAACAATCATTTGTTTATTATGCAATGCTACCTTCAATAAAAGGGAACTTCAACCGAAACAACATACGAGACAACGAATATATGTATAATAAATTTGCAGACGACACACCAATAAGTGGATAATAGACAATCTATATGCGAATATTTAACAAAATGTCAAATACGACGAATATTAGCACAAAGACTTTCGAAACATGCGTTAGAATTTAGAAAAATAATTCATGTTCTTTGATCACATTTTTATATTCGAGAATGAATAGCGATACATATTCCATACATCGAATTTTCAAACACTCATCAATTATTTTTTTAAATTTTTATTAGTTAATTCAGAACACTAAAATTGGGTTAATTAAGTATTTTTTTTGGCGATGCATATGTAATGAACTCTAAAAAAAAAAAATAATAATAATATTCAAAGGACATTATTCTTTATTCATCATAATCTGACGATTCAGTACATCCAAAGTGATAATGTGAATGTTCAAGTTTCAGCATCTTAGCATTGTAATGAGTCCAATTTAATATCATATACCGTATTTATGAATTTTATTTTGGGTCCTTTAATAAGCTACATTAGATGTTGCGTATTTTTTTTTAATTGTAAAGCTTTTACCAAACATACTGTACATAATTAGATTAATTTTATATCATGATAATTATATTTAATTTTTTTAAAAAAAAATGTTATAGACTGGAAATAATAACCCAACAAATATACCTGTAACATTTTACTATATAAAATCTCATTTTCAAAATTTTCTTTTGTCTAATCTCTTTTGCTAATACTAATTGTTACTACTCCATCATCAATTTCATATAATTAAGTTAATATTGCAGTTAATGCCCATCAAAGTGTTATGTTGGTAATATTTTTAATATACATGCAAATGAAAGTGATATCATATACCTAAACAAATAATTTTCTTCAAAATAAATTCTTTCATATTAATCTTAGCTATACATATTGTACATAATGATTCAAAAAAATAATGATTCTGAGATGATTATTTATTTTTTATTCAAGTAAGTCATTAAATGATAGTTGTTTTATGGCTATCATAATTTTAATGATTAACTGTTTTAAGCATCAGTTCTTGATATTTATTAAAAGAAATTCTACTATGACAAAAATGAGAATTCTAAAACAAAGTTTAAAATTGGCATATAAGAAGGTATTCAATCATATTCTAGAATCAGTTATAGATATATGAAATAGATTAGCATACAAGAAGGCATTCAATCATATTCTAGAATCAGTTATAAACATATAAAATAAATTAATATACAAAAAAACATTCAATCATATCCTATAATTGGTTATAGATATATGAATAATTAGTATTAATTTATAACTTCTAACTGAATTTGACTCAATTTCTGATATCAATTATTTTTAATATTGAACTTAATATAAAATTATTCACTAGATATCAAGAATAATATTATATTATATAGCCTTTTTAGTCTGATTTAAATCACTTCTTGTATATAAAAATTATGCTATATTGCTTGCCTTAGAAAAGTATCAAAAGCATAAAAGATACAAAATATATAAAATGCTTGAACAAGCTTAATATACATAGATATTTTTATGATATTCTATAATTAATTCTAAAGAAAATTCACAATACAGTCAAACCTTTATATAACGATATGTCGGGATATATAGAAATTTTTTTTAAAAATATCGTTATATCAAATTATACCGATATTTATATGATCTCAAGTATAATGGGTAAATAAGATTTTATCAGTATATAAAGTTTTTAATAGTATATCGGTATATAGAATATCGATATATAGAGATCCAATTGTACTAGTCAAATGATAACAAATAAAAACCAATCAGATTAAATCTGTATTGCCAAATTTGATCTAATTGATCTCCTAATATTTTATTTTTTAATATTAGATGATCTTAATTAATAATATTGCAAGCTGTTCGAAACGTTTATAGTTATCATTTGACTAGTACAATTGGATCTCTATATATCGATA